AAGCTATTTTGGGAATTTATTTTAAGAAACTAAATGGTTTACAAAAGTATCAACATTTTCTTTTTGAAGCATCTAATCTTGGTATAGTCAAAACTCAGGAAGTGGCTAATGGAACTTTACCAAATTCAATTTATTAAAAACTAAGAAAACAGATATTTTTGAAGAAATTAAAGCTTTATCTACTTTAGTATTGACACCACCTCCTTTGGATTACAAAAGGCAAGAATATCTTTATCATAATATTCATCCATTTGTTAGAGATAAATTCAAAGATATTACTTGCCCAAGACCAATCTATACTGGAAGTGAATAAAATATTTATAATAAAATCACTTCCATGACTTTATCACTCATTAATTTTTCTCTTGCTGTCATTAAGTTTAATAAGTTTAATTTTTTTCCACTTTTAAAGTAAAAAAGTACTAAAATAATTTATATACTTAATACACCCTTATAAAAAGGTATAAGTATATTAAAAGAATATATATAAAAAAAGAACAAACATGGTAAACATTATAAACAAACAACAACAAGCAAACAAAACACTAATGAATGAAATAGAATTATTGAAGAAACAATTAGCTGAAAAAGAAGAAAACTTTAAGTTAAGAATTTGAAATGCTGCTCACAGCTTACTGAAAGTTCAGGATATATTGGAACAAGTTTAAGAACCTAGAAAGATTTACTTGACCTAACAATGGTTGAGTAAGTTATCCAAAAAAGAATGGAATTGAAATTGGAAGAGTTGTTTTCAGTGATGGATTCACTCCTGAAAATATTGTTTAAAAGTTTTGGTAGTGAAGCATTAAATTATGAAGAAGCTTTTGGTTTTACTTACCAAGAAAAAGAGGAATTAAAAGAAAAGAATGCTGTTTTAGGAGAAAAAGTTGCTGAATTAGAAGCAAAGCAAAAAGAACTGGAAATAAAAGTGGAAGAGTTGGAAGATGAAGTGGAAATGGAGCGAGAGGAAGCTGAAAAAGCATTAAACACAGCTATGAAGTGGAGAAAATGCCAAATGAATGAAATGATACTAAAACATGATGCTGCAATGGGCAAACTCTTAGACCAAATAGATTTGTTGGAAAATAACTTGTCAGCTAAAAATCAGGAAATAAACTGAAGAGATAATTTAGCAAACAAAGAATTACCAGCTTTATCAAAACAACAAAAAGAAAATAGATTACAAAAGTTTAAACAATTAGTAAATAAAGCAAAAGAAAAATCTAAAAAGAAATTCCAAGCTTTTATTATTCAGGAAAATAAGTAGATTAATATGAAATTAGAATATAGAGTTCTGGAAATAGCAAAGGGAGATGAACAAGAGTGTAACTTCTGTTTTCTAGATTTTGATGATCCAACTCTTCTTAATTTTGATACTGCTCCTGCTACTCATCAAATGGTGGCTTGTAATACTCCTGATGGTTATTCTGACATTGTCTTTATCTGTGGTGAATGTAAAAACAATTATGATAATAATATTCCTCCATGATGTGAGAAATGTGGTAGGTTAAAAAGGAATAGAAACTAGTGTTCCATGTCGCAATCCAAAAAAGGAGACCAAAGTGGTCGCAAAGGTGGTTGCAACCAGGTGTTGCAAACCATCACCAAGAATTGCGACCAGCATCTATAATAGAAACAGATGTTTTTGTAGTCATTTAAAAACTAAATCAACTCAACCACTTTCTGACAAAGAACTACTTTCACAAGCTTTCAGTTTTCGCCTAGAAAATAGAGCTAGAGAACTAGAAAAAGAGTTATCAATTACCAAAGAAGAATTAAAAATTGAAAGAGAAGAAGTAGCCAAGTTTCAGGAAAAATCAGAAGAGTGAGGTAAAAGTCAAAAACAAGAGTTGTTAGATAAGATTAAACAACAAGAAGCAGAGATTATTAAATTGACTCAGAAAATTGAACAATTGAAAATTTTAACTTCTCAAGAGTTAGTCAATAAATTAAATGCTTGTGAGGCAGAGAATGAGAAATTAAAGAACCAGTTAGAACAATTACAACAAAATGGTAAATTAACTGCACAAATTGAAGTCAAAGAGTCTAAAAGATGATCTTGATTGAAAATAAGAAAGTAGTTCAAAGAATATTCTGTATAAATTGAAATTCATTTTAACTATCAAAGAAAGTGGTAATTATTTTCCTTTTAAAGATTTTTGCTTTTTTTTAGGTAATAATGCATCATCATAGTGTTTTCTTTTTCCAACATTTATTATTGTTCTTTCTTCTTGGTAAATTTCATATACGATCTTTTCTTTTCTTAGATAAGCTTCCAGTGTCTGAGTATCATTTATTTTGGAAATGTAAGGAGCAATTTTTTCACATTGTTCCTTTTTCAAAATACTTGTAATTCTTGAGTTCCATAGTAGATCTAATGTAAATGAGTTTCATATTAACCATTTCTATATAGAAGTAATTCTATATACCACTTAATATTAAGAAGATAACAAATGGAAAATTTTAATAATCACATTATTAAATTTTGAACCCTGAAATCTTTGATAATACCAATGTTCACTTTGTCTGGTTTTGTTGCAGTATGCCCATATTTTGCAAGCCTCCTAGATCTTGTCACTTCAAACTCCTATACAAACTGGATCTTAATCTTTATTTATCATCCTCAAAAAAGATGATTTGTTGTTGTCATTTGCTATTTGTTGTTATAACAACTACTGATTAATGGATATTCCTAATAATCATTAATGAAACTTTAATAATATAAAGTCAGAAATATAAAACAATCACTAATAAAATACCTTTTAGCTTTTGCTGAATCCCATCTACAAAAATTCTTCATGACTATTAAATTTCTATAAAATAGTTTTCCATGGGCCTCTTTAAAACTTATTAACCAATACCCCCATAAAGTAATGACCATATGAAGGCTTAAAGTATTCTGCACTGTCTCATTTACTATCAAGTCTTTTAAAGTAATATTGAGAAATAATCTGAGCTTTGAAGTGAAAAAGTAATACCATTTTTGAATAGCTGTGAATTCATGTAGAGAAGACCTTTCAGTATGAAAAGGTATTCATTAGAAAGCTTTAATGGAGCACTTTTATTTTACTCTAACAACAAAGTTTGAATTTTATTATAAAAATAACAAGATATTTTAAAAAAGCTTCATATGACACGAATTTCAAATTTAAATTTACATATAGAAAATCAATTGATGTGACATATCAACCAATTGAAATCATAACTTTGTATAAAAAAGGTCTTGGCTCAAAAATACAGTTAAAAAATCAAATCACATGTCCAATATTTTTATTCATTATTTCTATCAATTTCTTCCATGATATTATCAGAGGTTTTCTATGTGATTTATACTTTTTCAAAGCATACTCTGCTTGTAAAACTGATAGGCCTTCCCTATAACACTCCGTATATTTTACTGATCTTAATGCATATTTTCTTATGTGTTTTAATGATATAGAATCAAAGACTCTGTATATTTTCTTTTAAATCTTTCAGATATAATCACAATGTTGTCTTGCATATATTTTGGCAGTTTATTTTCAAAAAATTAAAAAGGTTTAAAAGGGCTAAAAAGATAAAATTTTCATTTGAATTAGAACGCGTTTCTCCCCAATTTTAGGCACGTGTAACATAATTCAGGCCAAAATTATATGTAACATATAAAATCACATGTTTTTAAAAGCTTAAGGCTTCTGAATCAAGCAGTATTTTTTTATTATCTTGATGATAGATTGTAGAGCTGATCAAAAGCTATCAAATATTGTCTTTATTTTTTTGAGATAGCCATTCAATGTTTTCTTTTTATATAGGTTTTAAAATTAGTCCATTTTTATGTGATGGCTCATTATGTTACACACTGTGCCAATTATAAATAATGAAGCTTTTCATTTTAGGTGAGCAATATATAGTGCAGATCATATATAATCAAATAATTGCTTATAATAAATAACAATTGGTCAGCTTCAAAATATCAAACAAAATTTTTATATCATTTTAAAAAGTTAACCAATAAGTTTTATTGTTCATGTATGACTCAAGCTTCAAAACTTATCAACTAGTTTTCTCTTAAACTAAAAATTGGCATTTTGAAAATTCCAAATTTTGTCATAAGAAATTGAGGCTAGTAAATTTGGTGTAACAAATTTTTTTTTGATTTGTTTGTATTATTTATTTCCTTTTTACAATAAAAGTTTAACGAACATATTACATCAGATAATTCACAAATTTAGTCATGTAATTCAAAATATTGTAACACGAAATTATTATTGCATAACTCTCAAATTAAAAATCTATGAAAAAAAAAATAGAGACAAATTTTTTTATATGAATCGACTCACTTTTTAAAGTTGAATTGAATGATGGTGATTTTTTAAAATCCAACATGTGGATCACAGAATATTTCAAATTTTTTTAACTCGAGTATACGTAGATGATCCGCACTGTATTATTATTTTTACAGTTGCCTAATTTAGGAAATTTTTGGAAAAATCATCGGGTTTTTTCAAAAATTGAAACATTTGGTTGGATGTAACGAAATTGGGTCATTTTATTTTCATTCTATTTATTATACTTTCGTTTATAAATTTAAAAGAAATTACAATTCAAATTTTTTGAACTATAAATACTTTTTTATTAATTTGAAACAAAATGTTGAGTAAATGTTGCTTTTGCGTTGGCTTGAGGTGAACAAATAGTTTAAATTTTATTTTTATTTATAATTTTATAATTAAATTTAAATTGAAACTTTTTTTTGAAAGGCCAGCAACTCTTATTTTAGCTTCCCTTGGAACCGTAAGTTTTTATTTATTTTTGTAATCATATTGACAATCATATTAATATCAAACACGATGCCCTTATTTTTTTTTTTAGTTGGGATATTTGTCCAATGCGTATCATTTTTCACTTTTGGCAGAACAATTAGGTTTATTCTATAGTGCTTTATCTACATATTATTTAGGAGCCTCACTTGTTTGTATTGCTGGTATTATTGGAGTAATAAAGGTAATTAATAGATTAAAGGATTTAAATTTCCAAAACAAAAAGTTTTATTTTTTAATCTCATTTTTACAAAATAAATTTCCTACAAATTTTTGTACGTAGAATAAAGTTAATTATGTCAAGGTTTATGCGTATTTTTACTGGTGGCAACTTTTGATAGGATTCTCTTTATCAATATTCTTTTCTATTATTGCATTTTATTATGACAAAGATATTTGTGAAAAACTTGTTGAACAACCTGAAGTTGATATGGATATGGATGCTTGTATGGATTGGTATATTAAATCAGCTGTCACTATGGTTATTAGTCTAGGAATATCTTGTCTTATTGATGTAAGTTTATTATTATTTTTTAATTTAATATATTTAATATAGGAAAGAGCTAATAATTTATATATTTTTGGAAATATACATAGCTTCATTTCTGTTTGGCAGTATGGGCTTATTATCAAAAACTTAAGATGGAAGAAAAACAGAGTGAAATTCCCAACCCTGATTATGTTGTTTATTATACTCCTGTTCCAGCTTATGCTGTCTCCCCACCACCAGCATACGATTCAGTCGCTTCATCTCAAATTGACGGAAAAACTAACGTAAATAATAACACTGATCAAAAGTCTACCACTACTGTTAATGTTGTTGAATCAGATGGTGAACCAAAGAAATAAAAGTTTTTTATAATACTTTTGAATAGTCTTTTATGTTCTTTTATATATATATATTCAATATTTAAACGGTTTTGTCTTTAAGACTTAAATATTTCTCTTAAAACTAATATATTTCTATAAATTTTATTTTTGTTGTTCTAATAATAAATCAGAACGTGTTTTAATTTTTATTAAATTTTCATAAATTACCATTTTGAAAATGATAATTATCATCAGCCCCATCATTCCAATTTATATATATATATATATATATATATATATATACAGTGCTTGGACAGAAGAATCGGACACCTAGATGTATTAATTACAAAAACGTATACAAAGAATTTTTATTTATAGCTTAGGTTCCTGAAGATCATGTATATAATTTTATGTTGCTAAATTTCCTAGAATTTTGAGCAAAGAAACATGATCATTTTTGGAAAAAATTTTTTTTGATGATAGCAATTTTCTGAATATATACTATAATGTTTTGAAAATTTATACATGTGATAATCTAAGATCGATTCTGCATGTTGGTTGATTTTAACTAGTAAAAAATTTGATTATCAAAAATTTTATTAAATTCTAGTGATTTTAAAAACATAATACACATGATCTTCGATTCTTTTGGATCAATATACTAATGCTGTGAACAGAAAATTCTAACAAATATAGAACCCAAATTGATGTGGTTTTCAAATTGCATAAAAAAAATATAATTTTTTAAAGTTAATTGCTTTAGTAAAATAAAATTTCAATAATATAATTATAATAACAATGTTTAAATTCGTTTAAGTACGCATGGTTTCATAAGAACTTCCTCACCCTAGAGCAACAGCATAGGGAATATTAACATTACACTGATAAGTGAAAATTAGAATTAGTGCAATTGTTTAACTTTATCGATGTATGTTTTTGATTGCAAGATAATTGCTCCTATGTGAGATTTTTTTGAGTGATTTAAATGAAAACAAGGATCACGCATATGTTTTCCAGTTGAATCATTATGAAAAAAAAATTTTTAATTCATATATAAATAAATTATAAGTTTTTTTTTTATTCATAAATGATGAAACAACAAATTATTGATAGTCTAATGATAATAATAGTAGAATAGTAGTAGTGATTGTACAGTAAAAGATATATTTACAATGTTTTAACAATAATATGAAAACATATTTACATTTATTTTTTACAATTTCTACATTCATTCATTAGTACTAGTATAAACATAATTATTGTTCCAGTTCCAAATTTGATCATTTTTTATTTTTCTCCATCTCCGTGTCATTTTCCATTTCTTTATTGGTACTATTATTATTACTTTTAGTTTTAAAAAAGGACACATAGCCACTCAATTTATCCATCCATTCTTCACGAATATTAGCAAATTTATTTGATGCGGTGTAATTACTATCATCTTCTTCAGACGTCTTTATTACAATTGTACTCGTATCATCCCAAGTATCGTCACTATAATCATCATAATCATCATCGTAACCCTCATCTATTTCTTGTGATTTATCAGCATCGGACTGATCTTCTTTAGATTGGCTTAATAATTTGACACCGTATATTAAAAAAAACACACCAATTACAACCAATGCTAGTGCATATGGCGGATAAGTATTTAGTTGATCTAGATAAATCAAAGAATTTGAGATACTCATCGTTGTGTAGATTCCATAAAACATTGGAACCACTAATACAGAATCATGAAGTTTCAAAGCCGTGTTTAAACAATATACCTTAAAGTATGATGGATTATTATTATTTATCAATATTAGTATTATTATCAACGTTAATTTTTATTCATTTAGTAGACTTACTTGTAAAATTGCAGTAATTGCAAGCAATACTAAAATGATTGAACTAAGTGCATCGTCAAATTGATTCGTGTAAATAATTGAATAATAAATCAACTTGACACTTTTTATTATTTATTCAATTTATAAAGAAAGAATGTGAGCGAGAGAACGATGATGTGATGATTACGAAGTAGTAAAAAAACTTTATATATCAGATTAACGTACCCACTTTTTGCTAAAAGTAAAGTTTGACTAGCAATTAAACCACCAATAATTGCCATGATCATACCAATAAATTTACCTAATCTGACTGGATCAATATATTTGATATAACTATGTTTTCGTTTTCTACGATCATCAAACAATACCCAATAGACATACAGAGTGATTGCAAGTGTGATCAAAATAAGAAAATTCAGTATCGAGAAATAAATAATGAACTCGGTTCTTGACATTAATTCTTTTAAATTATCAATCGTAAGTTGTTCAGCTAAGAATAAATAAAATTCCAATATTATATTATATAAATATTTTACGTACATGTGCATTCATAGAATAATAATAGTAGTAATAATAATAAACCTTTTTCTGGATGATTCATATCATTAAAAATTACTATCCAAATTACACTTATTATTACAATCACTGTACCAATAATATCTTTCCTTGTGATAATAGTTTTTACCAAGATTCTTGCAAATATAAAATTGAAAATCAACGCAATGGCTCCAAGTGGAGCAACCCATTCAGCCTTTATATAATCTTTATATATAAAAATAAAAATCAAAATTAATTTTTTTATTTTTTATTTTTTTCCATAAAATAAATTCATCATACTTAAAGCGATAGTGTTTCCAACTGATTGACTGATTATATAAAAATATAAACCAAGATGCCATAAAGGTCTTTCACATTCATTTTTTCGTAATTTAAAAGGTTTATTTAGATTTTTAACGTGATCCAATTTTAATAAATTCAAGCCTGCTGCATTCATTATCGATGATAAAATCGATACAAAGATTCCTATAAAGAAATCTAAAGGTGTTGACTTGTCATTCAGTATATTTTCAGACATTAAAATTTTGTTAAAAACAAAGATATTATTATTATAATTAGAAAAATTGTAAATATCCTATTTTAAATTCCAAGGCTTGGTGTAATTTTTTCTTTTTTGAGGCTTAGAAATAATTTGTTTTTTTTGAATTATATGAGGCTTTGGATACACACATTCAATAGATTGAAACTCTTTAATAAGACAATTGAATGTTTAATTTTATGCTTAAGAGCATATTTTGATTCTAGGAGCTTTATTATTATTTCATCATTTGGTAAAACCCAGAAATTCATCCGAGAGATTTACTTTATTTATTATACAACATATCTCTTGGAAGTTGATTTCTTTCGTGGAAAACCTCACAATGAGCGATCTGCTCGATACCCTACACAATAAATATTGACTTCTAGTAAAGACTACATATTTGATTTTTTATTATTGTGGAGTTTATTAAAAAGTCCCATTGACGTCTTCCTATTCAATATATTGTCCTAATTTGGAAGAAACAAGTACATGTTTATTGAAAATCAGTTATTATTATTAAACAAGCCTCAATATAATAAACAAAGTATGTTTTACTCGTAGAGTGAGGTGTATGTAAATAATTACATTCAAACAATCAATCAAGAGCTCCTTCTGCGATTCTCCTAAAAATCAATACCATAGAGATTGCAGACAAGTATAAGAAGAAAATGAGAAAATTAAAAAAATATTATCGTTTCACAAAAAATATATATTTGTTAAGAGACGCGTTACTACTTTATTGTTTTGCTAAAATTATATAAGCTTGTTTAAATTAGTAATCACAAAAAAAATAGAATGTCCAGTATGTCGGAAGTAACAGAAGCAAGCTTAATGTCACCGCCAGTAGATACTACGCCTGATAATAATGATTTGGATTCAGAAGTCTTAGATCCAGACGACTTGGATTCAAAAGATTGGGATATGATAGAATATTACTCGGGGTGAATGATAGAAGGAATAAATTTATTAAAAAAAATAAATTTATATTAATAATTTTAAATTTACCATTATAAAATAGTCATTTAATAGGTATTATGTTGATTGTATTTTCGATATATTTAAGAATACAATATATTTTAGATGAAATCGTTGATAAACCTTTTTTAAGTAATAATGTAAGTATATTTATTTATTTATATTACATCTATACATTATATACATTCTATATAAATATTGTATACACATTATATTTTATTAGATATCTTCTATTGAATGGCTACTGCTTATTTTAAGTGTGATACATGCAACATATTTTTTTACAAGAACAAAAAGATATCAATTATTTGATCATGAAGTAGATGTAAGTTAGAATATAATCATCAAATAATTATGCTCTTATTATAAAGAAATATTAACATTGTTTTATCATAAAAGGTAAAACCTAGAAGCAAAAATGTTTCTCTTAAAGAATTACATTTAGAACAATCGAACTGGACAACAAAATTTCCTGCAAATGTTTTGTTAGTAAAATAATCATAATATTGTAATAATATTTTAACAACAACAAAACCTTTTAACAAAAACTTTTTTTATAGTTATCCATTATATCAACATTTTTTTAAAAAGAGAGTTATAAAAGAAGAAGAAGATCATATTTGGGTTTTAAAAAAATGGGATCCATCAATTTTTTCTTCAATTTTATTTTGGTAATCTTTTATTCCTTTTATTTAATTCATTAATATTAAAAAACATTCAAGGATTAATAATAATATTTCTTAAATTATTTAGCTATTTTTCCCCATCTCAAGTTATGATTTTACAATTGTGTAATGGAGATAATTGGAAATCTCTTTTGTCAGTAGTTGTTGTGATTTTTATTCAGGTTAAAAAAAATTCAATCAATATTATTATTATTATTATTATTATTATTATTATTATATAATTTTTCTTTGTTAAATCTCCACTAGATTAAGATCACTATAGTAGTCTTCACTTCATATATTAATGATAATAGATTGGTGACTAGTGAATATATAAATGAATATAATACAAAATTCGTCCATAGAAAATTATTCACTATAAAAAAAGATGTCGCTACGCAAATAAATGATATAGGCATGTGATTATAATTTTATTGTTATTACAATGGAGAAGTTAAAAGAATATCTTGGAATCTGTCGATTTTGGTAAAAAACATCAATTATATAAATTATTTATTATTTTATTATTTTAAACAAAAAATTATTATTTATAAATTTATCACACATATATTATATTTGAATATGTATATATAATTTGTAGATATCATAGAGATAAAAAATAAAATAAATAAAATTTATATATAATAAATGAATTAATTATTTAACAAATTCAACAAATCTATTGATTCTATTATTATTATTACTATTCATTATTTTTCTAAAGATTTTATCGTTTTTCTAAAAAAAAAAAATAATAATTCAAATTTTAGTTAGTAAGCCGGATTAAACTAGATTTAGAAATTAATTATCCTAAAATAATACTTACATTATTATTATTACACGTGTGGTCAATTTCTAATCGATGTTTAATGCAATAACTTTTATTACATCCTGAACAGACTATCTTTACTGCGATACGATTTTTACATTTATTAACCGAACAAGAATTAAACGGTTTTGTGGATGTTGATTTTAATCGAATCTTGCAATCATTTTCAATATGGTTATTAATCTAATAAAATAAAATTATAAATAAAAATAATTACTAAATAAATAATATGAGACAATATAAAGGGATCAACGTCAAAATCACGATTTTGAGAAAATCGACATTCCTATTTATATTATTATTTTTAAACCTTTAACGGAAAATATCTCGAAATTCACCACAGGGGTTATAATGTCCGTCACATACGTCCCTTCGTTTGTCAAGTAAAATGGACATGGTTACTAAGCTAAAATCAATTTTCATGATGAATTGCATACAAAAATGTTGTTAAAATCATGATCCTTGTAATTATCTTTGTTTCTATACCATTTTTAAAAAAAATTTGTAACAGAAAATTTCTCAAAATTTTATTAACAAAGTGTGCATGGTTTCTAGGCTAAAATTGTTCCTTGCGACAAGTTACGTAAATATGTGGTATCAAATCAATCGTGATTTTTGACGTTAACCCCCTTCCTATTGTTTGTCCATGCCCCGTATTAATATATAAACATGATTACACTTACTCTAATGTTAGGATCTTCACCTTTTGAAATTGGAATGGGTGAACTACAAATTGGACAAGTCGGGACCTTTACCCCGTCTTCATCTGGAGCATTTTTACAAAGATGATATTTTGGTTTATAATGATTTTTACAATAATCAATTTTACAAAAGTGACATTGTATTGGCAAATAATCTAATTGTTTACAATCTGGATTCGCACATTGTTTGCCTAAATCTGGAAATTCCATTTTTTCAAAGAAACTGAACGAGAGGTTTTTTTAATGAATTTATTTATTGTTGATTGTATGTATATATGTATGGTTTTATTTTTTATTTATTTTTCTTTCAAAAAAAATCTGGACTATTTATAATTTTTTTATTTTATTACCATTATTCTATTATTAATTACGTATTCTATATTACGTGTTCTATATTACGTAAATAAATATTACAAATTAAATTTTCATTTTTCCAGAATAATCCATAATTACTATTCAGTGTATGAAACTGAATGTGGGTTTTGTGTTACATTAAAGATAGCCAATAATCTATGAAAAACTCTGAATTTTTATCTGCCTAAACTACTAAATTTCGGACATTCACATAATTGGTAGTAATTTCATCGGATTATAGATCATACTTTGATTTTATCAAGGGAAAATTTTTTTGTTACACGTAAATTTATAAATGCGCACATTCAAATCATTCAAATAATAAATATTTTTACATGAAAGAAAATCTTTTTTCTTTCTTTATTTAAAGATAAAGATATTGTCCTGTCCTTAAACTTAATCAAGATTGCTGAAAAAGAATCATTTTTTGTGTTATAAAATTTTTTTGGAGAGAATCAATCAAGTATCTTCCTAAATATATTATCAATAAAGCTAAGCAAATGCATTCTTTGGGTAATTCCTAATCTATTCATTGTTTGCTTTGTGGGAATAATAAGAGTGTTTACATAGATAATGATCCAGAATATGGTATGAAAATTAGTCCATTTTCCAACAACATCGAAAATTGCCAAAGCAAACACCTCACCGAACTTACCCTTTGTTGATACTAATGTAACCAAAAAAAAAGAATTATAATACCTTCTACATAATAATAATATATAAATGTATTACAATAATAATATATAAATGTATTACAATAATAATAAAATTTCTTGTATTTCAACAATAATTAATTTGTTTCGAAAGAAAATGTTTAATCATTATAAAATAGTTTCAACAAAAAAATTGAAGTTTCGGCAACAAATTATAGTTTCGGCACAGTGATTAGTTTCGGCAAAGTAACTGAGTTTCGAATATTAGTTTCTATAACCTTTTTTTTTCTGAGTTTCGACAATTTAGTTTAGGCAAACTTCTATAGTGCGCATTTTTATATTTTTATATTTACAGAAATATAAAATATTCCCAACTGGTAATAAAGACAAAAAAAAAATTTTTTCGTTTATGATATATATATATGTTCTAAAATCTTCAAATGCGTGTTGAAAATAATGAAATAGAAGCTGATAATATTAAATCATGTATATCTCTAGATTTAATCAATATCACAAAAAAAAAACAGGCAAGCTCTAGTTATTATCAATAGTAGTACCTTTTTTTAAATCATTCCGTGATATCGAATTTACTATTTCGCAGTATGAGTATGATAGCCATGACGGATTATCCTTATGAATTAAGATAAACAGGGACCTAAGTTTTCAAAATGGGGGCACTACCTTCATTGCTCTTGATCCAGTAGTAGGATAACTTTCATGACAGGATATATTCTATGCGTTCAAGCTATTGAATGGCACAAATAGAATAGAATACTTTACGGTAGAATTCAAAGTAAAGTTCCATCGATGAATGCTCCACAAGAAAATCCACAGTGGCTGAATGTCATCAAAAATCGGCAAATGGTTACGTGAAAGCCACCACGATTGCTTTACTCCCAAAACGCCAAAATCGGATATAGAAAATCAACCCTAAAACTGCAAAACCAATGTCGACCTGGTCACATTACCTGTTTAAACGACATTTTTTCTACACGAGTATTCTTGGTCATCTGCACTGAGGAATATACCAGTAAGATATTGTGGGGTCATCAAACATAATCTGGGCCTGTTGGATGTTCTGATTTTAATGCCATCCTTGATAAAGATAATAATAAATTGAGCTCGTAACATAACTTTTTTTTTAAAGTTTAAAAATTTTTGTGTAATAAAACAGTGTGATACAAAATTTACTAAAATTCTTTTTTAAAATAAAAAATGATTAAAAAAAAATCAAATAAACGAGGAAAAAAAATTGAAAAAGGCAACAATGGAGTTGATACTTCGTCTAGCAGTTCTAAAAGGGTTAGACTTACTGAAGAAGATTTCGAATTTGATCATGAGGGGTCGTTAGAACAAGCAAAAAGAAGACGAGGGGCAGTTAAACTTGAGGGGTATGGCAGCGATGAGACAGATACAAGCGAAGATGATGCCGGCTTGAAACTTTATAATCGCCGGAAAAAAGACAAGTCAAAAGACAATAGGGAAGAAGAAGAAGATATGTTTGCAGAGGAAGTCCAAGTTGAGGATATTGTTAATTTATCAAAGAAAAATAAAGAAGAAAAGTACGAGGTAGAAAATAAAAAGAATTTCAGGTATTTGGATTCGAATGAGATCCTTGGACAAGACTTTTCATCTAAAGATGCATATGATGAAGAATCAGGGGAGCCAATGATAGAAGCCTTCAATATGAAAGCTGAATTGGAAGAGGGTAAATTTGATGAGTCGGGAAATTACGTCCGTAATAAAAAAGATCCTAACGCATTTCACGATAAATGGCTTGAAGGTATCTCTATGAGAGATATAGAAAGAGCCAGAAAAGCTCAAGAAAAAAAAGATAAAGAAAGAAAACTTAAAGAGGCAGAGCAACAGTCACAAATTCCAATTGATCGCATATCAATTTCCAAAGAAATATTAACAATAATGAGAAAAGGAGAAACATTGGTGGTAGCATTACAACGATTAGGAGGAGGAAGGTCAAAAAACAAATCAAAAAAAATCAAACCTGCACAAAGAGAATATAAACGAAAGGCGGGTAATAAAATGCAAGTAGATGAACCTATCCTAGAAAAAGAGCCAACACCAGAAGAATTAAAGCAACAAGAAAATAAGAAACAAATAGAAAGGCTTACGGCATTATCAGATAAAATGATGGAATTAGGGCATTTTAATATTTATGAAGATACATGGGAACAAATTTTGAGAAATCTGAAAGCAGAAGGAGCAGTTGCAGAAGATTGGATGCCAGTAAGTGCTTATGAGGAGAAGGAGGAGGAGGAGGAAGAGAAGGTAACGGAGGAGGTGAGGGAAGCGAAGGAGGTGAGGGAGGAGGTGAGGGAGGAAGAGAAGAACCGCGAAGATTTATAAAAGTGAAGTATTTTTATTATTATTTTTATTAATTATATTTCTATTTTAATATTATTATTGCACATATATTAATATGTATATATTTTGTCAATTGAATTATTCGTCCTAAATTGCTTCAATAAATGAATTTATATTTTTTTCTCAAATGTTTGGAATTCTTTCAGTTGACTAATAATTGGATTTCGTTGGCTGATTGCAATAACATATCATTGTTATGATTCTAAATTGGGATTTCTCTTCTTTATTTATATTCTTCATATGGGATCTTTTCTAGCAAAATAGATTGTTCCGAGTAATAAACTCAAAATTATGTGCGGTACTAGCACATTGCCATCATGTTAAAGTGCGCTGGCCACACATTATTAGCAAACTAATCTGCGGTCAGTAAGTTTTACATATAATTTATATAAATAAGCAATTTTATCATCAATGTCTATATGCCGTTAAGTGTTTGCTTTTGATATGATTGTGTGCCTGCTGCTACCTGTTCGGATCCTTCATTGCTTTTTTCTTTATTTTCAGAGTTTATTTTGTCCATTATTATTATTGAATGCCTTTCAAAAGTTTTGATGTGAATTGAAAAGATATGAAAAAAAATCGTGAGCATTTCGCCTACACATCAATTTTAGACACTGTATTTTTTTATAATCTTTATTATAGATTAAATTTAGTCAGATGACCTCAGAAACGGTTTTTGCTGGAAACTATAATAAATATAAACAATTACATTCTTGTTTGTTGTTTTGAAATAAAGCCCTTGAGTCAACTTTCTCATTTATTTACTTGCATTGTTTTACGCAATCATTTTTTGGAACGGTTCGGTTTAATCTGAAAATTAAATAATATTAATATTAATAATTATATATATTGTATATAATAGAACAACTTTTACTTACAATATTGGTTATTTGGATTTTTGGCTTTGAAGTTGATGATGTAAAAAATCACAATCACGTCGCGCGTTTGAGCTTTAGTTATTACCCAAGTTCAACCTTTATATAAACGAGTTAATTTTAACTTGTGGAACAAAGCTTTTTAATGCGAGGTTTACAAAGTACGGTGGTTTTTTATTATCTGAGATAAAATTTTGACTTTTTAAATAGTGGGCAATATTGTTTTTTTTTGCAAAATTTTTTTATCCTCAAAGTTTACATATTAATAATATTATTATTTTTCTCAGAACTAATTTGAAACCGAATTTTCGGTTCTTTGCTTTCTTTGCTAACGATAATAATTCTTATTATTGCAAATACTTTTTCAATTCCTTTAATAAACGTGTTTTGGAAAACAGAAAACATTTAAACCATATCTTCTCTATTGAATAATAATAATGCAAAGAAAATTATAATTTGTTCTGGACTATTATTATGACATAACAGCATATTTTTTTATCTCATTTTCTCACTTTTATTAAATAACAAACTGATTTAACCACTAAATATAATGAATGTCTTGTTCACATTTATCCTTGCTGTTCCTTGTTCCAAATTCTTTTAATCATTCAATATCATTCATATAATATGATCGTTTTCAAAATGCTTTTTTAGATGTCATAGCTGTGGGTTTCCTTGAAATATAAAACAAAATCGGATTCATAGAAACGTCTTTTTTAAAATCAAAGTATTGTTAGCTTCGAATCTTAACAAATCAATCAATCAATCAATCAATCAATCAATCAAACAATCAATCAATCTATTTATAAAATCTATTAATCAAACAAAAAAATGCTCTCAAGCATATCTGATAGCGGATTTTTGGAATTGGACCTTTTTTTCTTGTTTTCGTAGCCACTAATAAATAATACCAGAAATGGACCTTTAATAATGTGTGTCTACCAGGTAGGTCTTTGGGGTTCCTTATGATGTTGATCACAGGTGTCAGATTTAATAAAAATTTCCTAACATAACCATAAGTTATGTGCTCTTAACACGCTTCATGACTATGGGATTTTTTCCATAGATGAGACCCCCATATGTCAGGAAGCTTTAGACAAGTGAGAGCTTTCACAAGGGCTGTTATAAGGTGGGCCTTATCTTTCCTTCAGACCAGGCTTGGTAGTTGGTATATGAGATATGGGCATTTACTAAATGAAGGTTGTGATAATTGCTTCATGTTATCCCCCTCCCTCATACTATAAAGTTGGTGTCTATAACTGATTTGGCAATTCTACAACTTAGGAAGTTCAATCTTGTTTTGTTGGTGGTATGCCTACTTATCAACAAAAGCTTGGACTTAGGGTAGGGGACTATTTAAAAAATAATGCCATAAAAAATTGAAAACGGACACATTGAACACACGTGCATAACATATTGGCTTGGAATAATATAATTTACTCATCTTTCATACAACTCTCTTGTTTTCTTAAAGCCCTCCTTCTTCTGGTTATATTTTCGTCTAAAAATCATTTATGATATATCTTATATTGATGAAATACAGCTATTCTTTATTTATGACTTTCTTCTTAATGTCAGAGATCATGGTGTCCATTTTGGACAAAGTACCTGAACATGAAAAGAAAGAGCCCAAATGAAATTTCAGAGTTCCTGACCCTGCTCTGAATTGCAACCTCATGGACCTGAAACAAGTTGCAGATTCTTGATATTACAACTCTTCAAAACCATGCAATCTCCAAAATTGCAATTTCCTAGTCGCAGAGCCATCTTTACCCTAGATGTAGGGTTTTTTCTGGCAATTTTCAGCCTTCTACAAGTAATACCAGTCCAGGAAGATTAGGACTCACAAAAGTGTCCTTGACAATGATGCAGTTTCGATAAACTCCAGGGCCTTGCGTCCCCCCAAAATTTAATTGCGTCATTGTATCATCGGGAGAACCTTAATCAGATTAGCCTTATATACACGAGGAAAAGATGAGAATGACTGTATTTTTTAAATATTCGAATTAGTGTACTCCAGCGTCTGTAAATTTCCAGCAACATGTTTAAATCTCCTAGGAGCCGTTTTCAACAGCTGTGTTGTCTTTCTTAACCATCTAACACTTCTTATTTTTGTTTAATATTAATAATGATTACGAGAAGCAAATGCACCAATTGTTTAATGACAAATTTCGTTCCTTGTTTTAAGATATTTATAAAAAATGGTTTCTTTGTACAACTAAAACTTTTTCTTTTAAAAAATGGATAGATCAAAGAAAGGCAAAGGAACAAAAGCAAGAAACGAAAGAAACGAGTAAATATTATCAGTGAATGATTGTTTTGAGGGCTATCCTAGTTAAAAGAAAATAATTTGAGAGCTTTTCTAGTCATTATTAAAAAATGGTGATGGTGGTTATTGATCATTCTAGTTAGGAAGAATTCATTATTAAAAGAGAAAAAAATGCTCGGAATAATTATTTTAAGAGCTTTTTTTTAAAAAAAACAGTGTTTATAATGAATGATCTTAGAAACCATTTAAATATTTACAAACTCTATTTTTATTGCAATAGGCACTTTTAGCGAAGGAGATGATATTGTTAAAGTTCCTTCGATCAATAACGATGCGTATGATGATGATCCAGCATGTATTTCTAATGAAGATAGATGGTGACGATATTGTTGCAGTTCATTCGATCAATAATGATAAAAATTCTTCTATTGATGACAATAAGGATGAGGATGAGGCTGAAGACGAAGAAGATGATGATAAAAAAGATGATGATGATGATGATGAAGGTGATGATGGATTTCTAATAAACACCATCATCCCCACAGACTCTATGCCATATATGATGAATGGCCATTTGACCTTCAGAAGTAATGAGGTCAACTCTAGGGGTATTTGACAAGAGGTGGTGTCTATGGAGTATAGATAGACGTTACCACCTCTTAACCCTATTACTTCTAATAGATGTATTGCTTTTAAATAAAATAATAGTTTTTTAATTACATAAATTTACCATATAAACAGCTAAAAATAATTATTTCAAATTAATTAATTTAAATTAAAATTTGTGATTGGTGTATTACTTCTTCAACATCTCGATAAATGCTTCTTTAAAATATAAAATGCGTGATTTTCAACCTCATAGCTGTGGCGCAATTTTCAACACTTTTGAACCCTGAAATTATCATGCGGCGTCACTATGCTCACTTTTGTTCCATTTCTATTATCAACAACGTCAACATAAAAATAAATATAATAACAAGATGCAGCAACCTACACCAGTTACAAGTACTTTAATATCTTCTTCCTCCTCTTCCTCCTTTACTTCTTCCTTGCCACAAATACCACAATTTATAGTAATTCATGATAAATCACAACAAAATTGGAAACATCCCATTGTACATTATATTTTCGAAGATGAAATAATACCAATTAACATCACGCAAGAGCATTGTATTTTGGTTGGCTTATCTGAAGATGGTGAAAAGGTTGAAAACATGTATTCTTTGAGTCATAATTTTCAAATAACAGGTTATAAAATTAGTTCTACTCCGCAAATGAACAGCAACAATAACAACAGTATCAGTAGTAACAACAACAACAACAACAACAACAACAACAACAACAACAGTAGTAGTACTAATAAAGAAAGCTCAGGCTTAATGTTAACTATTGAAGGAATGTCTAAAACGTAAGAATTGGTTTTTTTCCAATCAAATTACGATTGACTCTTTTAATTAATTAACAATGTTATATAAGTAGCGATAATAATAATAATTTAATGAAAATAAAAAATAGTCAATTTGGTAATAAAGAAGAAGAATCTTCTAATATTTTCAGATTGGAGGAATTAGTTTATGAGTTTAAAAAAAGGTTTGGATTATTCATAAATAAATATGTTCATGATTTTATAATAATTGTATTAATATCGTTATTTATTAGGAATGAATTGTTGAGACAGACTATAGAATTTTCTCAAAATTAATTTTAGCTAAACAAATAAAATAATAATTAATAAAAATTTAAAGGGATTTCTAATTCTTGACCTTTACTAATTGGGTATAATGTGTCCTTTATATATTTACTAAATGTTGATTTCCCTGTTCCATAAAATGAATGGCCTTCAGATGATATTAAAGCATCTAACATTGGTATAAGATAGTCTGCCAATGGTGTCAAGTCATCTGAATTCATAATTCTCAAGATCTCTGTTAAATCTTCTTCAAAATCTCCAAGTACAAATACACATGGAAATGTATTAAAGAATTTAAATAATAAATGATTGGATCTTGGTGATTTGATATCCGTTGCTAAAAATATCACTGTATTTACACCAGAATCACTTGGATGAAGTGATTTCTTGCATTTTATATTTTGTGAGCCTCTTATTTTCAATTTATTATTATCATTCATATTTTGTATATCTCTTATTTTCAATTTATCATTATCATTTATATCTCGTTTTTTCAATTTATTATTAACCTGTGCAACTTTGTTTTTATTACCATGAGGATTATATTCACCAAGGTCTACACTCTCATCTATTAAAATATCTTTTTCGTGTGTACCACCTTCCAACACATCTATTTCTTCTGGTGTAAGTTTAGTAAACGTGTTTGTTAAATTATGGTAAATGTGATCAATATTTAATCTTGCATATTTCATGAAAAACCCATCTGTTGCTCGTATATGCAGTCCTATAAAATTACCCACACCTCCCAATTTGTTTACTATACTTTCTGTTGCTTTCAATACTAATTCATTATTCGGTACTAAATGTTTTCTAATGAATTTAAGATATTGCATATTGGAAGGTTTCTCTGGTACAACCCTCAATGATCCAAATAACGATCCAAAATGTATCAATTTCTTTGGGTCTTCTTTCAATTTGTCAGTATACAAGAATCTTGTAAATTTATTACTATCATCTATCCTACTACCTGTTGTATCAAATATCCTATAATCCCATAGTTTGTTATCTCTAATAAAACGTACATCTTTGGAAATATCCAAATTAAGATTCTCCTCAATCCATTCATATGAATGGTCAAATCGATCAATTATTTTCTGCGACTCTCTAATAGGCTCCATCTCCAACAGGAAATCCCATGAAACTCTTGTGTATGAATAATAATTTAAGCATTCAGCGGGAAGTGGAAAATCTCTTGGCACTTTGGGACAATGTTGTAACCCTTTTTTTGTGGCTAGAAACAATCTTTCATACATTTTATCAAATCTTATCCATGGTAACGGTGTTCCAAGCAATGCAGGTGGCATTAGTAGTGTACGGTTTAATATTTTTGCAAGCAACAATGCATTCTCAAGGCCCACGCGTTGATTATGATATCCACTGTGAGTGTAATATGCTAAGAATTTTTCATCAGGATTTATGGTATATTCTCTTTCTTTTAATGCTTTAACACCCCGATAATTTATCTTAGTTTTCAGTGATGTTGATGTTTTTTTTCCTGAATCAGAATAATAATAATTTTTTGTGGTTCTATCTGAAAATTTACTTAATAAAGAACTGATTATGAGTATAATTAAAATTAAATATATTAATATCCTAGTTCTGCTTGCAGCCATTATTTTTATTATTGGTGGTGAAATAACAGAATGGAGAAAATTTTTAGAGGCGATAATGTTAATGGTTAAAACGAATGTTTTTTGAATATAAAAGTGAAAGTAAAGGGTATGTATATTTTTATTTTTAAGGTATTATAAAATATTATAAATATTTTTTTTCTTTCAATAATTAATTAATGTAACAAGAAAAATTTTGGAAAATCACCCTTGCATTGTATCATTGGTGTAACGGTTTTACAATTACACAAAAGGTTATTTAATAATATTCAAATAAACTTTGTAATGATATGTAAAAAAAAATATATAGTTTCTACTTGTGGCATCTCTAATGAAATAATTTCTATTAGAGGCAAAAGTATTTAAATAGTAACTTTTTCCAATACAATCACAGATGAGACTCTACCATTAGATGTAAAATACACAGTGAGTCTCAGTATAGCAGATAATTTGGGCAATTAGAACAAAAATTTCAAAAATCTGTTATACTGAGATTAATTCAAGATTTAATTAGTAAATCTGTTAAACCAAGAGAATTTACTTATAGATGGTTCTGAGCTTTGATCCGTTAAACCGAGAGTTTTATTAGACATCCGCTATACCGAGACTTACTGTGTAAAGCATAGATTGTTGTTTAAACATGTGGCATCTCTGATACATCAATACCTAAAGAGGTATTCTTTATGGAATTATTAAACTATTTTATATAAAATTTAATTACAGGCAAGTAATTTCTTACTCTATTATGAATAAAGGCTATTGTTTATATTACAAATTTAAGAAAGACTGCAGGTAAATGTAATTTTTATTGAATAGAATATTGACATCTTATTTATCTATCTATTAATACTTGTTTTTATTAATAGTTATATATGCAATTATTATTTGAGTACAACATAATATGATGAATGAACACAGATATACTATTATTACATATTATCACTTTATAATCAATTCATAAATAGAACATTATGCAAATTTCTTTGATTTAACTTTCTCTAACATAATGGCATCAAATATAATAATGGCAAATTAAAATTAGTAGTAGCATTAGCAGTAGCAGTAACAGTAACAATAGCAGTAGAACAAGAATAAGATGACAGTGGTAGGTAGTGGTAAAACTCTTGTGTATATTTACTAAGGTTTCTGGTAAGGTTTCCAGCCAAAACTCTTTCAATTAGTAGCTGAAATTGCCAAAACACTTTGGGCAAAAATAACTTTTTTATAAGCCCAAAATATTTTTTGTTATTAGCCGAAATTGGGCGAAATTACTTTAAAGTTGTTTAAGTTAAAATAAGTCGATTGGTGTAGTTTTTTAATGTTCATGTTATAAAAAATACTGAGAAGCCCAAATTGCCCAAACTAGTTTGGGCTTTGGTAAAACAGTTTGGACTGGAAACCTTAGTTTCTGGTCCAAACTATTGAATCAACTTGTTTTAACTTAATTCGTGATCTGCAAAATTTTCATAACAGAATTTGGCGCAAAATTTTGCAGATCACTAATTAAAATTTTCTGGACTCCAACTTTCACCCCCAACGTAACCACCCTTTATGTTTATATAAACTAAAATTGTACTTTTAACACATGATATGAATCTCGAAGTTTAAATATACAAATTTTCAAAGGGACTTTCTTATAAAATATTTTATGTTTATATGTAGGAATCGCTGGATTCCTGCCTAAAATTACTATATAAAATTTAAAGGTTTGAGTAAGCAACTAAAAATATTTATGATGTAAAAATGGGTGTAGAATTAATTTTATCCAAGAAAAATATAAATATGTTATTTCTATTTAGTTTTTAATAGTTACTCTTTTTAAAATAAAATAAAAATTGTTGTGGTTGTGTAATTTTCTTGACTCACGTTGGTCACGTGAGGTAATGTCAGATTCTCAAAACTCCTGAAAATTATATTAATGATCGGCAAATTTTTGCAGTTGTTTCACAGATTACGAATTAAACAACTTTAAAATAATTTCGCCCAATTTTGGCTAGTAGTTTGGGCTTATAAAAAAAAAATTTTTGCCCAAAGTATTTGGGCAATTTCGGCTACTAATAGAAGCAGTTTTGGTCAGTAACCTTAATATTTACACATTAAATTTTTTGTTGGGAATTTCTGGTTCCAGTGGGAACAGTTTGGAAACATCACTGGAGCATTGGACCACTGGGACCAATGAAAAATCTGTAAATTTTATTTTTAATACCTATATTTACATGTAATAATGAAATAAATATGGGTAATGTCACTGCCACTATATTAATACAGTTCTTTTTCTTTTGGGTCAGACTTTATGACAAGCTTGAATGATGTCAATTTTTCACAATAATTATCTTTTTTTTGTACATGGCTCCATGTGATGAGATCATATGACCATTTTGTAGATGTTCACCTTGTGACTTTACTTACAAGTTCCACAGGCGGAAAACTTTTGGATGCTTTGCAAATATGTTGTAACAAAAGAGAGATAATGGTTAAAAGTAATTGTTTAGCTAACTGCAAAGCCTGCATACAAATAAAAGAGTGGGAATGGTCTTACATAATGTTACACAATTAAAATTTTCTAATACTGTTCCATCTATTGGTAAACACTTAATTAATTGTGAAAACTTTGCAAACTATTAATCCAGATAAATTGGAATCAGTAAATTCACATTTAGAAGTGAGACAAAAAAGAATTGAATCAAGATTAAAAAATAGTATAGAAATTGATGTTGATGTTGATGTTGATGTTGATATTGATTGTATATATTTTATATTATCATTGGATTAATTGCAATAATTAATAATATTTTATTATGTTTGTTTATGATCTTACAACAGAATTGAACAATAATTATGATAATTCATCTATTACACCCCCTCCATCTGAAAGTTCTAATTCATTGATATTTCACCATCAGGAAAATAGGTACAAATATTATGTGTATATAATACACAATTGCAGGGATTAAGCATATAATATGCGTACAAATCGCGTATTTTTTTATGTATGCAAATTGTACATATATTATATGCTTAATCCCTGCAATTGCATATTATATACGCATAATATTTGTACCCATTTTCCTGATGACATATAAATCCAAATAAATGATGATATACAGTATATAATGAATCAAGTTCTTCCATCAGTTCGTCATCAAACAATGGAATTGAAAGTTATTGGTTGAAACACTGTATGATGAGACTTTTAATGATACTAATGATGGAAGTAATTTGGATGATGATCCAGAAGAATTTAAAAATTCTGTTAAAACATAGGGTTCATCCAGCTGTTAATAAGAGGCCAAATGGAAATTAGCAAGATTATTTAAACTTGGATCAAAATTCCAAATGAGTTCATATCATTACTTTCAGAAAATACAATATTAGAAATTTATAAAAATAATTAATGTTAAAATTAATTTACTGTAGTTTTCATTAACAAATAAATATAAAATCTATTGATTCCATTGGTTCCAGTGATCCATTGCTGTTTCCAGTGGTTCCAGTTTTCCAGTAGTTCCAGTGGTTTCCAGTGATCCATTGGTGTTACAGAAAAAAGTCACTGGAACACTGGAACTGGAACTGGAAAATTTGTTCCTTTTCCCAACACTGGTTCATTGTGATCAACATTACATGATCCATATAAATCTTGATTTTCCCTGAAATTTCTAATTTTGGTAAAAATCTAAATTTTATTTTGTCACATTTACATATGTAAACTTGATAAGTTGGTCATGTGGGGGTGAGATCATATGACCAACTTATTGAGTAAACCAACTTATTGAATTAAATATTAAGAAAATGGAGTGAAAATTTTGGCTGACTTATCAAGTAAACTGACTTATTGAGTGACTGACTTATTGAGTTTACATATGTATATATTTTATATTCAATAAAATCAAACTTCCACCATGCTATTCGTGACTTCATGTTATTTCTTATTAAATTTATTTATTAACATTTAATTGATTAATTATAATTGTGATGAATTTATTTTTAATTTTAAATAAATAAAATAATTAAATCTTTTCTCTTGCATTTAAATACTTTTAAACATAATTTCTTGAAAAGTTAAGCTCTCACCCTTATTATATAAAAAATGTTGAAAAGCCCAAATTGCCAAAATAGTTCAAGCTTCAAGAAACAGTTTGGGCTAGAAATCTTACTTGATTGTTGGTAAAGTGACCTGTTGGTAAGTGGGTGTTGGTAAAGTGACCCAGACCCGACTAATTATGTGTAATTGCAACAATGAGTTTTAATAAATCCATATCTTGCAAAAGATAATGCTATCACTGAAATGGAGTTAAATCTCTTAATTTTTAAAAGAACATGACATTCTACATAAATGATCTCAAGTAAGATAACTGTAAATGCATTTAGGCCCCTATAATTAATGCATACATGACTCTTTTATTTATATACATTGTATCTATAGGAACTAGTACTTTGTGATTATTTTAAAGTCAACAAAACACAAATATTTCATTGCTTAGGAGAACTGGTAACATCAGGCAAAAAAAAAGTTTTTATTTGTATAACTATAATCATTTGTAATCATTTGTATTATTTGCTTATTTCATTTTTTTAAAAAAGGTTCATTCATTATAAGGATGTAAAGGGATAGCTTTTCATAGTATATAATAAACATTAAAAAATTTATGTATACATATTATGAAATTACTACAAATAAATTAAAAAAAAAAAACAAATCATCATATTGTATATTTCTATTTACATATATAGTTTGTATGTTGATTAATAAATATAAATACATTAGAACTCTTTACACCAAAAGCTTTGATCTAGCATTGCTATTGATGCTCCAAGACACCATCCAGTTTCAATTTTTATTTCTCTTTCCAGAGGTATTTCATAACCAGTATGTAAAAGTTCATAAATAAATGATAAGTTCATGCAATAATATGGATTCTTTTTAAGTTCCTTTACAGCTTCTGGTAAATAAGAGAATCTTTTATAATTTCCTGAACAAACTTGATCAGTAAGATCACAAAGTTCTTTTAATGTAAATTCTGACAGCATTCCTAATGGCCTACACAATCATAAAAATATGAAAAAGCATAAATATCATGTGTTGAAAATGTATCACATCCAGAAAATATAAAAAAATTTTACACATGTCAATTGTAAGTTTAATAATAAAAAAGTGTAAAACTTACGTCGGCACTGTAAGATTTACACAATATTACGTTGGCATCGTAAGATTTATACAAGTTTACGCTAAATTAATTTCCTGATGCAGTAAGAGACAGCTGATATACACCATCAAAGGCACATGGGAATAATGGAATTCTTTATGTTTGTTGAGTATTTGTTCTACTATGAACCTACACTGAACATGTCCACCACCTGTACCAATGAGTTTAACTGAATTGTCATCATCATTATCAATATCAATTTGCCATGATTCTGAATAATTTTTTGGTAAGCAAGTATGTGGAATATAAAATTCATCTTTAAGATTTCCATCATAACTAAGAGATATATCAGAAATCAAATCATTCTTGATACCATCAATACTATTATTCCATAATTTTACCATGAAACTTATAATTGCTTTTTTTGCCTCCATTAATCCAAAATGTAAATAAGAATGTTGATATAAAATATATTTATGTCCACCATATTCTAATTCATATCTGTGTTCTCCAGGTGCAACCTTGTAGCCATCTAGTGATCCAGGCTCAAAAACTATTTGAGTTGAGCCACCTCCAAGGTCAAAAATTGCAGCTGTGGGTGATTTATTTTTTGTGCCAACTTTATTCAATAAATAATTAACTGTAATCTTGCTTGGTTTCTTACTTCATTATAAAACTTATCAAAATCAGTTCTGCATTATAAATCAAAAGATCAATCAAATAATTGATAAAATTGAGAAAGCCAATTCAAAAATAAAATAAACAATCTTACTAGTGATAAAAAATATTCGCAAGAAATAGAAAATCTATGGAAGGATTTTAAACAATTATTTGACAAAAATATTGAACTAAAACCAAATTTTTCATTCAGTGAAATGATCACTGAAATTTGTGAATTACTTGGAGAGGGAAAAGGTGTTGTTGCTTCCAGGGTTGGGAATTGTACATGTATGTACGTATGAGCTTAAAAATTTTTTAGTACATTGTACAAACATATCATGTGATTTATGATATTTTTATTGGTAGATCAAATGTAATATATATATATACAGTATATGTTAATTTGGAAACCTAGGTGTGATTTGGTGATTCAAGAAGAAATTAAGGAAAACAAATGAAAGTAAAGAAAGAGAATAATACAGTAAAGAGAAAAAAAAAGAAAGAAAAAATTAAGAAGAGAAAAGTTCTTGATCACAATAACTCCAATAATGAAACATCTCTCTCAACTTTGAGTTGGATAAGTTGGGTAGATTCCTGGATTAAAAAAGGAAGCCAATGGGAAATATATGTATCTTGACAGGATGTTTTACATAGTCAAAGAAATGGGGTGCAATAGCTTAATTCTCTAAATAAAAAAGGAGGCCTCATGAGACTTTGTATGACGTCAAGTCGCTCCAAACAAATACTATTAGTCAAACGATTTGTCACATTAAACGATTGGGAAGTGTATTTTCCGAAATTTTTTGGTGATCAACGTCGAAATTCTATTAAT